ATGTTATTATTTAAAAAATTTAGTAACATTAGAATGTAACGAAGTTGGATTGTTCCAAAAATGATTAACAAAATTAAACTACACAAATGTTCAAAGCGTTTATTAATATAATACTTACTTATCAAAGTGACCACTGTAGCCTTGAGTTGGAATGGCTAACAAACGATCGTAAATTTTAACAACATTTTGGTAATGCTTCGATTCACTTTCCCATTTAATGTAGGCATCCCACAGTTTATCGGAACGAAACTCTAAGCCACATGCATCTATAGCGCGCTCAAATTGTGACTGTATATACAACTCGTCTTCGGCGTGATTGCTCTTTACATGTGCTAAGTAATGAATCCATAGATCCACAGATAATGGGATCGCTTCAAGGCCGCGTTCGAATACCTAAATATTAGGCGTTAATTTGCATTTAATATATTATCGTGTGGATTGTTGTGCATTTGATTGTAGTATTAGATGTTTTTGAAGTCGTTGTGATCACGCAAAACCAATAATTGAGGTGAATAAAAAAGAGAAGAAAGAAGGTTGGCAAAAGTTTAGTTGGCAAAATGTAATCCAGAGATACTTAGCTTGATTCTGTTTAGTTTCGTATTGTGCGTGTATACTATAGTGTTTTAAGGAAGAGGTGCAAGGAAAAATGGGGCTGGATTTTAAAAAATTCTAATTTGCCGAAATGTGAAATTATCAAATTAAAAATATACGCAAATGTTCGTTGCCTAGAAGTTTCGGACTTGTATTTCGAAGGGGTAAATAACTGACTTAAAAATTAAAACCAATTGAAATGTGATGAATATCTCTTTAAAGTTGTGATAATTTATATCGAAAAAAATATCAATTAAACTTGTTGATAAAAGTTTGTCAAAATTATTTAAATCAATATCTTTAAATATTAAAATGGAAAATAGGTTTATTAAATTAAAGGGAGTTGGAGACTTTTGGATAAAAGGGAATCACACGCATTCAACAATACACCAGTGCACATTGTTTGCGAAGCTGGAATTTATGATCTCATATAAATATATAAATAAAATTAATTTTTCATAAATTTTATTTTGATTAATTTAACTTAACCTAATAACTTAAATAATTTTAATTCACAAATACTTCATTTAAACGCCATTTGTACTTACGCATGGCCTGCACGTGATGTATTTAAGCAAAATTAATGCTTTCGCTGCCTTAGTTAAGTGAAGTGCTGACAGAAAATATTGAAGGTTTCAATTCTTCTTTCTTTGAAAACATAAATAGTTATAGAGACCCCGAAGTGCGGAAATGTTCCGTGAAATGCTACATATTTCTGCTGATTTCACATATATTAATATACTCGTATAATTTATAATTAAGTCTACAACCAATTTACAAACGAAAAAATAAAAATTTGCGCGCGATAAATGATGTCGTAAGACAGCCATAACCAATATCAAAAATAGAGTTGTTTTTAAAAACATCGTCGCCCGACTTATTGTACCCACAAGAATAAATATTATTATACTCGTAAAAAGAGACAGTGAAGTAAGTTAACATTTGTATTTTAAGACCGAAAACTGTCATTGAACACTAAAAAAATTCGCTGCCCCGTATTCGATTTGAGGTTTTTCTGTTTTTGTAATTCCATTTATTAATTTTAAATTTTATTAAATTATAATAAATTGCATAGTGAAAAATACAACATATTGCAAATGTATTCATGAACGCAATGTTAACAGTACTCACCGCGTTGCAGTTGGCCTTAATACCCTTGCGCTTTTCGTAGTCTGCATATTTACGCCAATACCCATAGCAATACGGATAGTGTGAAAGGAATGCATCATAAGCCTCACGTGCTGCCTCAGCATCAGACTGCGCGATTAAAATCATTTATTTAAATAACTAGGTATTCATCATCTCATTTTCATTAAAAAATATGTGTTATTTTGTAAGTTAATCGTACCTCATTGTCTACATATTGTAATAAATATGTCCAGCCAGTAAAATCGGCAGGATCCTCTTTGACTGCACGCCAATATTTATCTAAATCGGGTAGTCGTTTACGTTCTTTTTCTTTTTCCTTTTCCTTCTCTTTTTCTTTTTCTTTCTCACGCTCCCGATCCTTTTCTTTCTCCTTTTTTCTTTCTTTGTGCTCACTTTCTGCAAACATAAAATAAGACGTATTTCGTTTGGATTCGTTCTAGAATGGTCTAATCTAATCTAATTCGGGTTGTTTTCTAGATCCTTCAAAATGCTTACCTACAGAGCTAACATCTGTTTTGATTTTCTTTTCCACTGATGCAATAGGTGTTGCGTCATTACTTTCTGATGTTGGGCTCATTGGATTGTATTGTTCCTCGCTCCGTTTCTTTGATTCTTCAACTTTTCGCTGTTTTTCGTATTTGCAATCACTTTTATCACCATCATCAGCTTTTCTCTTTTGACCCATAGATTCCTTAGAAGTTGACTCTAATAAAATGACCTTACTGGAGGCATCTGGTGACAAAGCAGGCGATTTTTTCTCCGCTTGCGAGGTTGCAGTGGGTAACTCATCCTCAGATATTACTTCTGCATCTGCAGGTAATTCAGCTCGTTTGGGTGCTGGCAGTTCATCATCAGAGACTTCTTCTGCGTCATTTATTTCAGGCTTCGAGGGTAATGGTAACTCATCTTCTGAAACTAGTTCGGTGTTTACAATTGTTGCATCACTTCCTTCTGCGGCATTTCCTATATCTTCAGCTATTGCTGGTTCAGAAAGTGAATCTTCCGATTCCATTTTTTCACAATTTGCCTCCACGAGCGCAACTTTCGCTTCAAAATCTTCCTTTTTGACATCATTTTCTTCGCCTCCACCGACTGATGGTAAGCTATTCGCATTATCCCCAGCCATAGAAGCAAGCAATGAGCTCTCGACTGCGCCAGTTTCATTCGTACCATCTTCGTTTTGTACATCTTCCGATGTCTCAGACTGCCCCCCAGTTGGTCCGAAAGGAAAAGATGAACTTTTTTCGTCGATTCCTGTATCAGATATTATGGGCACTTCTGTAATTACTTGCTCTTCCTCTTGAACCGCGAACATTTCAATATCATCTTCAATTTGCTGATGATCCTCCTCAATGACTTGCTCCTCATATATAATGCAGTCATCATCTTGTGGAACCTCCTCAACTATTTCTTCACTTTCCACGTATTGTTCTTGATAGTCTAAATCATTCCTATCTTCATTAGGGTTCTCAATTATAACGCCTTGTGCGGCTTCTTCTAACATTTCCTTTATTACGTCTGAATGATGGTCAACGGTATTTGCCTCCTTTTCTATATTAGTTTGCCGCACTTCGTCGTCTGTTTCTGTAATCTAAATACAAACCTCTTTAATATGAATTTACATTTTGTTCGATAAGCATAATTGTATAAATAATTCAGTTGGCCCTTGCTTGAAATCATCTTTGCTCTAGCAAATCATGTGTAAATGGAACCTCGCCACACTTACACAAAAACAAGCTTTTTTCGTCATTTACAATTTTAATATAGAATTGATATCATAAGATTGCTACGCTATTTGTTATATATAACTACTAACTTGTTCCTGTATATTTCTCTTGGTTCGTCTAGTTGAACGAACTGGCGTTGGATTTAAGGGAGGCGCTACAACTTTCCTTCCAGATCTCGTTCGTCGCCCTGAAATGCAAACATAAAAATGAATACCTTTTTCATAATACTAAAGAAAAGTGTATTTAGTTTTAAAATGACTTTCATTTTTTTATCTCTAACTTCACGAGGCTCACGTTTTTATCTTACTAAAGATGTCACAAGTAGACATCAATGCGCCAATTTTCAAGACCGCAAATAAAAATACTTGCTTAATAAAAGAACACTTGTCACAGCTTATTTAATACGCTACTCTACATAATTTTATTAGCGAATATTAACTGTGCAGATTAACTTTATATGTAATTACCTAAATTTTCATCAGAAACGTTATCTTCTTTGGACGCCATCTTTTATGCAATAAAAAACTAATCTAGACTTTTATGTATTAACAGTGGCAGGGTTGTATTTTTCTAAATGTAATCAAAAACATATAGCTGTACAATGTATGGAGATTTTTTGTTTCAACAAACTGTATTGAAAACGTATCTAACATATATATTGGATTTCCTTTAGGGATTATATGATTTCCAAGTGTCTCTCTTTAGTATGTCCTGATCTGTAATTTTTTTCATTGTATTCAGTAAAGTTTACAATTTCATCAAGGAAAGGTATACGCAAGAGCAACATTTACGAATTATTCAATACTGTCAATGGAGAGCGGTATACATCGTTGATAACCAACTTTTTATGGCCGCAATTGGAGGAAGTTAATCTTGACAACATCTGGTTCCTACAAGATGGGGCTCCGTGCCACCCAGCATGCAACATCCGATATACTGCCAGAAAAGTTTGGAAATTTGATCATTTCAAGAAATTGTGACAATGAATGGCCTCCGAAAAGTTGTGATTTAATACCATTAGACTACTTCTTGTGGGGTTATTTGAAGTCATTGTTCTTAAGCAATAAACCAGACTCTTTTCAAGCTTAAGAAGTCAATATTGAACGTGCTGTTCATGACATACGAATTGATTTAGTGGATAAAGTACTCGAAAATTGGGTTCATTATACTCTAATTGGAAAACCCTGTATAATTACATTAAGTAAGATTTAAAACAATATCATAAATTGTAACGGATTTGTCGATAAATCGTCTACCTTGTAACCAATTTAATGGCAATACACTTATCTTTATTACTAATTTCAAAAACTTAACATCAATTACGCGTTATTCGAGTTTACAAATTTTTGCTTATGTCTCAATTGCTCTTAACACGACAACACTCTAATTATAACTGTATTTCCTGCTTCGGTTCTCGAACATTCTGGCAACTACGAATTTCGCTATTTAGTTAATTCTAGCAGTTTATCGTCGATTCAGATTTGTTCTGGCATTCATGTTCGCTACACTGTCCTGCATTTAAGTCTGATCGTCTTGATTAGACATATTTGCGGTATCAAACGCTGCAAGCCGTTCCAGATGAACTACCTTCATTTTATTCCTTGGTTTTCCCATGGTTACACTACATCGTTGACTCGTTTAATAACCTGTTATGGTCCTTCCCAATTACACTCTTATTTGAGGAGACAGCCCTTTCTTTCGACTTATTGTGTCAGAGTTCATTGCCTTGTCGTATTTTGCTTTCATTTTGTCGCTCATAATTTTGGTGCGCTGTCTTACCATGGCTTGTATATCCCTTATCCCGTCTTCTAGGATGCTGTTGACTTCCTTAGCATTCCTGCCTTCGTTTGCGTTAATTCTAAATCTCAAATTAATCGGTAGTCGAAGATCATTACCAAAAATTACCTGTTAATTTCGCTCAATATGTTGTTTTCGTCTATGAAATCTTCCTCAAGACCTATTTTGCAATTTATCACGGCCTCAATCTCTTGACACTGCCCTAGTATGGCTTTGGACAGTTTAAATGGTCACTTGCACTTAATGAGTACTCTTACTGGAACACGTTCATCTTGTTTTTTCATAGCTAGGGTTTTGCCTAAAAGTAAGTTTGGTGTATATTCTTTTGTGGCCTTAACAATCCACAACTTTATTGGCCCATAGTCTCCATCTATATCTGCCTAAATAACTGCTTCTGATTTTGGTGGAATCTGCTGGCTCTCTGTTGTTATAACTCGTCTAACGTTGTACTTATTATCGTAACCGAACATAAATGGCACTTCCATATTTGTATAGGCCATAATCTTCATCTCCATATCAATTATGATTTCTTGTTTTGCTAGAAAGTCTACTCAATTATGACCTCGTCGATAATATCTGTCACTATTAAATTATGTAACATGGCTGCCTTTTCAATTACGATTTCGCACGTTACTTCTCCGAGAACTTGATATCTTCTCCGGTTGCAGTACTAATGGGCTTACTTCTTTATTAACCAGATCACATCGAATCATGGAATGTGACGCGCTCGTATCCACAGTCAGTATACGCTTTTTGCCGTCAACACATACACTAACGATACCGTTACTCGTGTTCCTGCTTATTTGTGAAATGGAGATTACAGGGCATTTGCCTGCGGGAGCCAGCCCGTGCCCTTTTCGTCTGGCTCGCTTTAGTTGAACGATTGGTTGGATTTGACATTTGCTTGATCTTCCTCAGCTTTGCGTTTACGTCCAACTGAATTGGACTGGTTACACTTGCGTGCAATATAGCCACTTTTTCCGCAGTTGAAGCATTTAACCACACCATAATTTTTCTTACGCATTTCTGTAGATTTTTCTAGTCTCTGCATATTTTCTTCAATTTTTTCAAGTAATTGGTTCACCAGCTTTGAATGTTCGATTGCTAAGCAGAGATTCGGTTTCCTGTGTCAAAGCATACGAAACAGTTTCCGCAAATGTCAGTTTTGAACATGTTAACGCAGCGAAGCGAGCTAACCTATTAATTTCTGTAGAAAACTCCTGCAGAGACTTATTGGCTCTTTGTGCGTTCCATACCGTCTAATGCATCCATTAACGTTTTATAACTACTAGACTCGCAGTTTGAAATGGTTTGTAATATCTTCGCTGCAGGACCTTTAAACGCAACGAACAATGTAGCTACTTTATCTTTGCGTTCAACTGTGAGGACACCTGGGCTAATATACGTGCATCTTGCGCTGCGGATTGCTCTTCCAACGTTTCTAACTGCGATTCTAACTGCTCTTTAAACTGTGTCGATATTTGTGTTAACGTCTGCGTTGACATCTGCGACATTTGCACTGCTATGTGCCTTGTACATTACTTGGTCATTTTCATATAATTATATCCTTGGGAATTTATTTGACAATTCCACTTCTGACACCAATTGTAACGGATTTCTCGATAAATCTAGATTTAAAATAGATTGTTAATCAAAAGTTCCAATTTAATGGCTATACACTTATCTTTATTTCTAATTCCAACAACTTAGCACTTATTACTCGTTGTTCAAGTTCACACGACCAAAATTGTATGAGTCACATCGTGGCGAAGCAAAGCAAAGCGAAGGAAAATGTTGGACATCTCCCATCTTTTTACGATTTGCCAAGCAACAGTTGCCACTTTTATTAGAGAAACATTTAAAGCAACGCGTTCATTCTGACATACCCCTATTTCTTTCTTCGCTTTGTTGCTAAAGTATGAATTGTCAAGCAAAGAAAAGAAAGTTGTATTTGAATGGGCATCAATATATCTTTATATATATAATTTTAAATAATAGTTTCGCAAGCTTCGTCTTAAAGTTACTTTTATGAAATTGAATAACGTTTCCTCGGTCAATTCTTTAATATAATTTATATAAGTGTGCGAAATGCTTGCTTTTCCTATATAATTAAAAATCATCAACTTAACAAGTATTTTGTGTAAATACATATTTTTACGTTATTAATACTGTCGGATACCCTGAGTTTGTTGTCTAACACTTCTTCTTTTATTCAATAGTTCACAATTGTAATGACAATTTGAGAGTGTAATTTTTCGTATACGGTGGTGTTTCCAATTTTCACTATTTCATACAAATTAATTGGAAATGTCTTAATAAAATAAATTTTTTGACCGAGTCTTTGTTTTGTTGTTAAACAATAATTGATTAGTAAATATTTTTTACTATATAAATATCGCAGTTATTGATTGTAAAATAATTAGCTACATTAGTCCTTTATGTTGGGTAAACCCGAGAGCTATTTTTTTTAGCAACGTCTTGACAAATCTTCGGTTTGTGTGAGAATGTCGTTTGCATTTAAGATAGATAAAGCGTTGAAAGCGAATTTGTATAAAATATGTCGTCTTTGTGGAATCGATAGAGAGGACAAGTACGATATATTGGATGCTGATACAGAAGACCAGGAGCCGGTAGATTGTGACGGCGAATTGAAACTGCACCAAAAAATCGTTCAATGCATTGGCATTACAGTAAACGATATATAATATGTAAATTGTTTTACATGAAATAAGATGACCAATTTTTATTTTAGGTTTGCAAGGATGATAGAATGCCTCAAAGTGTTTGTGGACTTTGCGTGGATAAAATCAATGATTTTTATGAGTTTCGTGACATGTGTTATGCTACAGATGTTCAGACTAGGAAGTTGCTCGGATTGAAAGGCGGGGCACAAAAAAAGGTAAAAACTACAAGATTTGAAAAATATTATATTAATGTGTTTATGTTTTAGACCGTTAATGCGGATGTTAAACCTAGTATTGATATAAAAGAGGAAGCTGGTGTAAAACGTGGACGTAAGCGCAAATCGGATGAGATAATTGCAAGAATAGAAACAACTGAAATAAAGCGGGAAACCGGCCCAATAGTGCTGGCAAATAAAAAGCAACGTTTAAACGATCCACCGCCTGATACAAAAAAGAAAGGAAAATTTGGGAAAACAGTTGATAAATGTTTAAAACCCAAAGAGGAAATGTAATTATGTATAATAAACAATATATAATATTAAAGAACGTATGTTAATGGATTAACTAAAATTTAATGTGAAATTTTCAATAATGAAGAGAAACTTAACTACTATATAATTTTCATGACAATGGTATTTTTAAATATTCACAGAAAAGAAGAACCTATGGATATGGAGAAACCAACGACTACGAATACCCATAACACGAAATTTCGCCAAGTGTGCAATATATGCGATCAAGGGTTTATTAGCAAAGTAAAATTGGATCAACATATAGCGGCAGTACATATGCCTAACATTCCACGATATATTTGCACGGCTTGCAATGAAACTATAAAAAAAACTAACGACATCAAAAGTCATCAGTTATGGCATAAATTAACTAAAACGCCGTACATATGCGGACATTGTGGCCAATCGTTGATCAGTTCCTATGCGTATTCAAGGTATATATATATTATATTTTTAATATAATATATTCGAGTTTAATAAAAAAAAAATTTTTAACAGACATTTACGAGACCACACTGTGGAAATCCCTCCAAATATGTGGGTGCTCGATCGTGAATGCCCTCAATGTCATCACACTTTTTTAACGAACTTTCTTTACAATACACATTTATGTGCAGTACGGACTAAAAAGTGTGCGGGTTGTAATCGTCAATTACGTAATGAGGTTGAGTATCAGCGACATGCAGCACACTGTGCAAAAGTTTACTTAAATTACTCAAAACATATACCAGTCGCTGCTCTTGCAGCCGAATCCACAATTCGTATTAAAAATGAAAACGAAGTAGAGGCCGCTGCTGCCGAAGCTTTCGCTCGCAATGCTGGCATATCGTTGGACATGACGCCAATTGTGTCGCTAACTCGTATTTCGACCCCTGAAATAATGGCTGCTAGCCATGGTTGCACCTCAACAGAATATACCAATGATAGTACTGGAACACTAACTGACGATGGAAAAATGTCAGGAAAAAAAGGCAGTAAAAAAGGAGTCTCTCGTAAAGATCTTAAAAGGGTAGATAACTTATTAAAATCAACATTAGATGTACTGGTGAGCATTAAGCATGAGCCAGAGGTGCATGTAGGAATTGATTCCGAAATCCCGGCACCATCCGATGAAACTGCCAAAAGAGCGGAGGAGGCTACCGTGACGAATGATGATGGTTTTCACCATGGAGATGATGATGATGACGAGGATGATGATGATGGTCCCAAAAATGATGGTGAAGATGAAACAACTGGGGGACATGTTACTGACCTAGCAATCAAAAGGGAACCAGTCGAGGATTGTGTTGCCCAAAGCGCTGTGCATATTAAGCAAGAAGTGATTGACGTAGACAATGAGAATTTAGCTCCATTTACAAAAATGCCAGTATTAAAATTGAAAATCAAAAAAGAACATGGCACATTAAATTCATCAATTGTGGAAGAACAAAGTGTCCGAGTAGAAAAGAAAAAAAAGAAAAAAAAACGAAAAGATGCGATGCGAAGTAAAGATAAGTCGGTGAGTATTTCAAAGGTTGTAGTTTAAGGATATGAAAAAAAAGGTAATACGATTTATTTATTTCAGTTGGATGAAAATGAACTTACGTCTGGGAATGGGACTGTGCACGAAGAATCTGAAACGGCTGGTGATACCCTGCCAAATCAAAAGTTATTAAGGGCTGTCAAACAAGAGCGATTAGACGAAACTGACGAGGATTATGAGAGTAATAAGATAGAAACTATTGAAGCGGTACATCTAGAGCCAACTGTCATGACAACTATACCAATACCGCAATTCCAAATATCTGCAATTTCGAGTGGTGTTGAGTTCGGCGATAATATCGCGTCCTGTACCCAAGGCAAGGCTAATGACGAATCCAGCGAAGCAGCAACAACACAACATACTACATGTCTTGAAGGGGAGAATGAGGATATTAAACCGAATAAAGCTGAATTAGATCGGTTATTTCAAATTACTAGCGTTAGTTGTGGGGTGCAGATGGAACATGAACATAGAAGTGAAATCGAGAGAGAATCATATTGTAGTAGTGAAAATTCAAACTCTAATATTCCAGTTACAAGTTTGATACAAAGAACAAAACCTGAGAAAACCGTACATAAAGTTGTTAAATATAAACGTGGAGAACAAAAGGTTATGACACTAGCGCGGACGGCGAAGGCATTCAAGTCTACATCAGGAGTTAGTAAGATAAACGCAAACACCAACAGTGGTATTTCTCAAGCCAATTTAGGGTACCTTCCCCAAATTCATATTAAACCTGAGCCAGTTGATCGTGGTTATGAGGATATATTTAATGCGTATGAGTCAGCTACAAACTCTTCTGCGGCAGAGACATTAAAATTGTCCGTTAGGGAGATGGATGAGCAGGATTATTTAAATAATATTGATTTCGCAACAATACAAATCAAACAAGAAAAAGACCTTGATGTGTCCGACGTCGAAATGACAAATACCCATATCGTGGCAAATGCCATACCCAACGGCAAGCGATCAAATGGTGAAGATTCTCAATATTCTGAAAACGACGAGGACTCGGATAGTATAGATAATGAAGAAACCGATGAAGATGAGGAAGACGATGATAATGATGAGGATTGGGTAGGTATTAAAAAAGTAGAAGAAGACAAACGAGAGTATCGGGAACTCGACATGCCCCCGCTGTTATCAACAGAGGTTCAGGAGTCAAATAAAAATGTACACAGTTCTGAAGATACGTTTATATGTACGCCTAACGTAACGGAATCACGAAACGAAGTTACTGATGATTTATTATCAGTGAGCGATGCGTTGAAAAGACGAAGCGACGAACGAAAGAAATCGGAGGGCGTTTTAAATAGCACTACTTCAGAAAATGAACCTACCACAAGTAGATTGCTACTGAATTCTGATATGTCACAACTGAGTAATGAATATTTACTACCAACTCCATTAATGATAACAGACATTTACAGTCAAGCCGACGTTGGAGTGCCTGAGAGATTGCCTCAAACAAATGCTACAGTTACGCCCCAAGATGAAATAAGGTATTCGCATGATGTCAATGAACCTATCGTTGCAATGTCAGTGTTAAAAATTTCAAGTGTCGTTGCTGGGTGTTCGACTAGTTTTGATGATCTTTCAAAAGATGATAGTCAGTTGATCGACAGTTTACCACCTCCGTTTGCCGGGCAACTGACGGAGGTAGGTGATGTGATTGACGGCAGCCATATTAGGAACAATGAACGTAGTGATTTAACAAGTGATGTCATCTATACGCATCCAGAAGCACGTACAATCTGCATTAAAGTAAATCAAAACAAAGATACTCTTCTTGATGCGCAGCCATTTTCTGACGTTCGAGCAGAAACCGTATCAACAATGGGCTCGTCACAAATGATATTAAATTCGAATATGAATATAGCATTGCATCCTGCGCAGAATAATTCGGTTGAACTGGTGGGAGAGAACTTGGTTGAAGAAGAGCAGAATGTTCTTAACCAAGAAGTTGACGAGGCACAAGCCATCCATGGATTGATACTTGGTGCTGATCAATCCATTGCATTGATTGCGTCAATACAAAATGATGAAGAGGCCGAAAATCTTATGAACGAAAGCGTAGTCGAGGCGCAGCTGCAGGAGCGACAAGAATCACATACTGACGTTCCAACAAGAAGGAACATACTCTTGCCATCAGATGATCTAGAATGCTGTGAAAGCACCAATGGTAATGTTGAGGGAACAAGTCAAAGCAGAATGATCAATCACACATTCTTGCTGGATGAGAGTAACATTAATGAAATTGCCGAAAATAACAATAATGCGAATATTGAGCGCGAATTACAAGATGACGTTAGCTCAACAACTACTGGGAGCTCGAATGCAGCTAACTACAGCGATAATGGCACCGTTAGACGAAACAGTATAGATACCAGCGATAGGAAAACAACTGATATAACATGAAAATAGAAATAAATGAGATATATACGATTCTACATTTTAAACATCGAGAGTTAGGTACTATGTGAAAAAATTACAAAGAGTCCGAAGTTCAATTAGATTTAGGCTATTGAATTTGATATTTATTATTAGTTGTGCTTGAAGCGTTTACAACAGCTGGTTTTCGCAATTATTCTGTAATGAAATGGTGTAATTAGGTATGTTTTAGCTTTTATTTTGTAATATATGTTTAAACATACATGTGTATGTTAACTTTAGCATAAAGTTTATTTTTGCGAAGTATAAAAAAGTAGATATTATTTAATTCTTGTCAGAGGATTTATATATATTTATTATAGCTTTCACTCCTTTGTTGGTTAATATAGCACTTAAGTTGAATTATTAAATTAGGAAAGAAAATTAAGCTTAAATTACGTAAACATATTATTTACAAACACCATTGTATGTAATCAAGAGTTCAATCTACTCTACCAGAGTAGCATTTATTTTCGCATATGTATACACACAATATGTATACAATATTTTCTTAGGTGGCAATTGGTTCTACAGACCCAAAAGAATATATTTTATTATTATGAATATTAAATTTTGTGGATTGAAGGCAATACGTGCATAAAAATGCCGCGTGTTTCATTGCACCATAGACACATATAATATTTTAATAAAACGTATGTTAATATAATATATAGCAATGCCATATTGCCAATTTGTAAATTAAATACATACGTGAAACAGAAAACCATTATAAGTACATTATTTTTTTGTAATCAAAATGTATCAAAAATATTAATATTTGCATAATATAGATTACTAATAAATTCGTAAAACAAACATTAGCAATGCTAACAGTATTTGGTTTGATATATGTAAATAACAAATAATTAATTATTTAATCTTCTTTTCTTGTAAACGTCGTGAGTTTCTCTTTGTTGTTGTTATTGCGGAAGTAAATATTAACAAATACTTTTGTGAAAATAGCTTCATCGCGTATTATGGCGGGATCTTATAAGTGGCTGGCTTTGGCAGAGTTGCGATTTTTTAAATTAAAACATTTGGGGTCAAAAGTTAAATTTTTATTTCATAATCCCGATGTTGGGATTAAAAATTAGATTTTCTGTTTTTAATCTAAGAAGTTTGGGATTCAAAATTGAAAATATTACTTTTAGATTTGAATGAACGCAATAAAATGTTAATTCTAAAACAAATACTTTTTTAAATTCTTAACTATCTGCTTAAGATTGATATTTTTATTTTTTATTTTTTAATACGGATTACAAGTTTTTTATTTTTTAATCCGGGATTAATTCAATTATTTTCTTAATGCATTATTTGTAACCCTGGTTAGGGGTAGTCAGACATTTTAAAAAATAATTATTTTTTTTTAGATTTTTCTTAAAGTCTAATATCTTAGAAATCCGACAAATACTTTCGCGTTATTCGATAGTTACCAAAGTGTTCTCAAAACTATGACTTTTGAGCCGGTAACCACTCTAGCTCGAATTTCAAACAAATTTATACAGTTTTTTTTTTAAACATGATAAACTAATGTCTGATCGAAGGATATTTGATTTCGAGTTTATAAAAACAATTATAAAAAAAAATATAAGTTAATGACAAACAAAATATTTCAAATTGTCATTTTTTATGTCTCTGACTACACCTAACCCCTTATGGCAGGATCCCACAAATGGCCGGCTTTATACCCCTCGTCAAATAAACTGGCATAACGTTCTGTGATCTGACCTCTAATAATCTAGCCAACAATCGCAAATAACTTAGGCTTTCCTAAAGATGTTTCTTACTATTTATAACTTTTAAACCCAGAGTTTGACTTTGGCTAATGGTATATTATTTTTGTGAATTCAAAAGACCAGTAGCATATCTTTGGTAAGTTTAATATTTTTTTATTTATTATATTTTAACTTGGTTAGACATACATATAACCGTAATAAATATGTTAATAATCGTAGAAGTTTCATTTGAAATAATAGTTCATAAAAACAATATTTTATTATAATATATTCAATAATATTTTAGTCAGCAATATGAATGAATGACAGAAATGACATAAGTTGACAGTTATCAAATAATATGCATACATATTATACATTAACTTTATTAAATAGCCGTATAGCAACTAATTCTTTACACTTTAAAGAAATGACTAATTTTTTGCATTAAATGCGTTTTTGTTATCAAGTAACTAAGCTTAACTCATCTTAGATAACTGTTAATATTAGTATTCAACCGATTCAGGCGAAAAATTTCGAAAACGTGATTTTTTCAACTGCAACTTATTTTAATTCTTTCACTTATTATTATACATCTAGAGTTCAAAGGCAAATAAATTTATATGTACATATATGTAAATGTGAGTGTGCATGTTTGCATATATTCTTTACTAATTTTTAATTAACTCTTTTCGTTTTTACTTTGCGTATTTGAGTGCGGATAACTTTTGCTTTTGTTCAATTTTTATTGCTTTTTTGTATACAGGGTGCATCATTATAGCTGGTATAATCACTTTTCCTATATACTTATTATTGTATTATTAGGTCAGTTTTGTTCTGGTCTGATATTGGCCGATATAATAATATAAACATTTAAAACTGTGTGTGTGTTAAAATTATAAAATAATAGTTTCTTATTTTTTAATTGGGTAAATAGGCATCTTTGCAAAAGTGATGTTAGTTAGAATTTTAAATATGATCAAATGCGTAAGCTTATTTATTTCGAAGCACTTTACATGATCAATACACATATATAGTTGCAAGTGAAGTAATTATTGTTCTTGCGGAAATGAAACTGACCTCCATGTAAATATTATTTACCTTAATTTGTACATTTTTAAAAATCTATGAATAACTTTTTGGCACACCAATAACTTATTTAGATATATTTAAAATAATGTTTGGAATTAAACTCTTTCAGATTTCAAGGGCTTGCTTATCAAATACCACCAATGAACCCTAAGTCACCCTAAATCACAAATTAAATACTATTTTTGAAGTTTTTTTTTTGTAGTTTGTTTGATTTATCATTCACTCAAAGCTGTGCTTTCGGATATGTAAACGTCTAGAAGAATAACAAATTCAAGAATAATAGACGCACATATGCCATAATAATTGAAAACTATAATTAATGTGAAATTGAAGTGAAGATATTTAAAATATTAATATAATATAATATTAACTGGCTGTAATAATGTTTTTCGCTTTTGTTCTATTTAATGCTTCTTATAAATGAGGAGTAATAATAATGCGTATACACATATGTATATCTTCATTAGGCATTATACTAATAAGTATTTATGTACTGATCTTACCAACTGAGAAAAAAATAATTTTTTACTTTTGGTGTGACAATCATTCCCGTTGTTGTATATTTTTCCAATTGTAAAAGTACTAAAAATGCATCATGCTAACTCACTTACATATGCTTCCTTTCACCACTTCATTGGGTTTACTATGTAATCAGATTTAACTTAATTTTTCTAATATACATTTATATATTTTATTTTTGTACAGTTGTTAATAGTTTTCAAGTCGACTTTTTCTTATGTAATACAAGTTAAACTTTGTTTTACTCCCATGAAACATTCCCTAAGTCTATCACTTGTTTTGGATTTCTCCATAAATAGAATTAATTTTATATCTTTATACTAACATTAGCTACCTAGGAGTTAGGTGAAGAATTTCACTATTGAGCAAGGATATGCAATTTACATCTATACTGTGTATGTAAGTATACTGTCAAAAATTAATTTAATGATATTTTTTCAATAAATATTTAGTATTACGGTAAACAAATCAACTAAAAAACTGAAAGATGTGCTGGCATGGTATAGCGATTTAATCTTTATAACTCCAATGCTACTCTATTTGTTGTAAAATTACAAGAAATTGCAATTTAAATCTTATCTATACTTTTATTGATATTTTTTTCTGTTGTCGTCACCAGTATCCAGAAACCAGAACTTAAATAAAAACAAGAAAAAAACCCTAACTTCGGCAACACCGAAGCTATAATACCCTTCACAGGTGCATGCTATAATAGTAATTTCTAAACAATTTCTTCGGAGATTATACCGTTGCCTTGGATAATAAATACATGTCGATTGTTCAATTTGTATGACAGCTATATGCTTTAGTCGTCCGATATCGGCGGTTGCGACACATTTCAGATCGATATCTCAAAAACTGAGGGACTAGCTCGCGTATATACAGACAGACGGACATGGCTAAAAGGTTTCAGCTCATCATGTTGATCATTTGAAGATATATTATAGGGTCTGCGACATTTCCTTCGGGGTGTTACAAACTTCCTGTAAACTTCAATATACCCTGTTCAGGGTATAAATACGTAGTTATAACAGGTATATACATAGAAATATTGAATAGAATTTGAGCAGTCAACGAAATTTCATTGAAATATTGGACTTTTTAATGTATTCGTTTGCATCGAATATACATGTTTTTCATTGTTAACGTACAGATGTTTACATCACAACTCTATTGCGAATGACTTATACAATTTAGCATTTAATCCTCCCATTCATCGTCATTACCTGACGAATCGTCGTTTTCATCATCTGACGGCTGCATGACGCGTTCTCGTTCGAGCAATGCCCGCCTTAAGGCGACCGCAAGAGCATCGCTACCGGCGGGACCAGTGGCGTCATCGCTATTGCGATTAGCTGGTGTGCGATCGTGCGACGGCTTTAATTCAAATCCGCCGCGTATTTCGGACATAAGATCACTATGAGAATCTCCACTGCCGGTGCTGAGTGCAGCCGTATCTACTTTCTGCAACCATTCAAATGAATACGATTATTTAATTAAGTATGTACATATAAAATGACTTTGATATTTTTAAATACCTTTAATGTCTTGCCCTTACGTATACTCTCCAGGAGCGCACTACGAACGTCTGGTACAACTGGCAATGGTGCTGTTGGTCGCTTTTTTTCTACCGCCGGTGCATCAGTTGTATTTGTTAATGGTGACTCAGCTATTGCTGGTGGTGGAGGTGGAGGCGGTGGCGGAGGAGGAGGTGGCTGTAAATAAAAAAATTACCAAAATACTTTTGGGGGAAATTATTGGGGAACTTACTGCTGCGGCTGGTGCAGCCACTATGGGTTGAGGTGGTGCTGGTGGGGGTGGAGCAACGTTTATGGGTGGCGGTCTAGTTGGTGGTGCTGGTGCACGTGTCGCACCTGGCACTGTTGTGGGCACCGGAGGAGGTGGTTGTCTTGCCGGAGGCGGTGGTGGTGGTGCAGTTCTTTGGCTTACAGTTGAACCGTTTTGGTGCTGATCGCGATATAATTATTTGTAAAAATTAGTATTTTTATTAATAACGGTTAAATGTTTTTTTTGTTTAACTTACATGCTGGTGACGGCTTGGCACAGGTGGAGGCGCAGCGGGCGCAGTCGATTTTGGCGACTCAACCCGCTCTGATTTCACCGATGCTAACACATTATTACTCTGAATAAAGTCATAGATGAACGCACGTGTATCTCGATCTTTCAGCTCATTCTCGGATACGCCAGCTTTGGCAAAAAAGCTTGTGAGTACTTCGTCATTTTCATTTCCCGTTATATCGAAACCCTTATCTGCATCCCAACCGAGATGACTTATGTGCACAAAATTTGTCGGTGTACTTATATCAGCCTTAGTAACTTTCCTCTTTTTGTCCTTGCCGGATGATGAACTCGAGAGACCAAAACTACTGCTGAGAAAGTTCTTTGAGGTTGCCACCGGGTTTGGTCCGGGAGTTAGTGTAACCGAATTAATTTTTTGTGGATGGTTTCGCAATTGCACGGTAGAATCCGTTGTCGTTTGACTGATCGCAGGGGATGGTCTCGTTGGGTCCCTGTTAACTGGCGGGGGAATGTTTGGAGCTGCTTGCGCTTTAGCACGATTCCGCTTTTCTGCACAAAATATTGAATAAAAACATTAATAACATTTTTATATTAAAATTTTTTAAAATTTGATAGAACGAAGAGGTCTAACCTAATTTCTTTCGATTTCTCGTTTCAATTGTTGTGTCCACAGCCCTATAAAATGCATCGCACTCCTCCTCAGAAACAAAATTCAAACCTACGTGACCATCCTGGGGAGAAAGGGATATAAGTTCAAATAGTAGTTTCATTATCTTCGATATAAATCTCAATATTAAATTACAATGATCTTTTTAAGTGGATATTATAAACCTATAGTATGTTTTTGATTAATTATAATAGTTTTGTTCACCTAACGGCTGTTTGTATCACCTAAAACTAATCGAGTTAGATATGGGATTACATATATAACATATATCTAAATGATCAGGATCAGGATGACAAGACGAATTGAAATCTGAGTGACTGTCTGTCCAAACTATAACTTGAATAAAAATTGCGATCTCCTAATGAAACTTGGTACACGTATTGCTTTTTAAAAAAAAAGTGATAACGAGTTCGTAGATAGGCGTAATCAGAACATTGCCACGCTCACAAAACGGCATTAATCGAAAACCTATGAGCACTAAATTAAGATAGGAAGATATAAAACTGTAAAATTTGGAAAAAACAAGAAAAAACGGTAACTTCGGTTGCGCCGAAGCTATAATACCCTTCACAAATACAAAGGCCCGTTACAAGAACTTGATTCCGAACGTTCAATTTATGTGGCAGCTATATGATATAGTGATCTGATCTGACCAATTTCTGTGGAGAATAATTTGTTGCCTTAAGCAATAACTCGTGCCTAATTTCGTGAAGATACCTCGTCAAATAAAAAAAATTTCCATACAACACTTTACTCCGATCGTTCAGTTAATATGACAGCTAATGCTATAGTCATCCGATCTATACAATTTCTTCGAAAATTAGATTAATGCTTTAAATAATAATACATGCCAAATTTCGTGAAGATACCTCGTCAAATGAAAGAGTTTTCCATACAAGCATTTCCTTCCGATTGTTCAGTTTGTATGGCAGCTATATGCTATAGTCATCCGATCTATACAACTTCTTCGGGGATTGGATTAATGCCTTAAATAATAATACATGCCAAATTTCATGAAGATACCTCGTCAAATGAAATAGTTTTCCATACAAACACTTGATTCCGATTGTTCAGTTTGTATGGCAGCTATATGCTATAGTGGTCCGATATCGGCCGTTCCGACAAATGAACAGCTTCTTTGTGAGAAAAGGACAGGTCCAAATATCAGATCGATAGCATAAAAACTGAGGGACTAGTTTGTATATATACAGACAGACGGACAGACGGACAGACAGACAGACGGACATGGCTAAATCAACTCAGCTCATCATGCTGATCATTTATGTATATATTTTATAGGGTCTCCGACGTTTCCTTCTGTGTGTTACAAACTTCGTGGCAAACTTAATATATCCTGTTCGGGGTATAAAAAAGGCGTTGCTCCGCTCTTCAATAAATTTAATGTACCGGCAGTGTGAAAATTGTTAAAAACTAATAAAAGCGCGATAAATCAATAACTAAATACTCCAGAGACATTAAATTTTACACCCAGAATTAAACAATGGGCGTGGCACCGCCGTTAATTCGACAAAGTTCGAAACAAGATTATGAAAAATTATATTTTTCAAAAGTAATCCTAAAAACTATGAAATATTGATTTTTTCTAGAAATTTTAGGCAAATTTTTTGTAAATTTTAATTAGCTTAATAATCTGGTTCACTATTAAGAATTTATTTTTTGGCAGTATTGCTTATTTTTCCAATATAAAATAAATTATTTGTAACTACGAAATGTTTATTTCTAATGGTATTTAACGTCTATTGATTTATATATCGGACTTACTTGGCCTTCGAAGGTGAGAAGAAAAGGTCGCGCCTTTATCATTTTCATGGCGTCGTACAACTCATGTTCCCAAATCTGTTCGTTTTTTATTAAACAGTAAGCGCGTAGGAAATACGATCTTTTCGCGCTATCTTTTACAAAACACACAACACCAGTATGCTTCTTCTTCCAATGGGAATGTGCGGAACCTTCCGTCTTGTAGATCTGCACCACGGCTGTGTTTAACGTCTGAAAAACAACAAAAATTACAATACAAAATCGATTAACTCCCTATAATTTCACTTTCATTTTTTGCACAATTTTTCCTCAGCCAATTAGAAAGTCATTATAAAGAGGAAAAAATATACAACCGTTTAGTTTTTTTTTTTTTTTGACAACCTTTGTTTGTTTGATCATTAGAAACTCTCTATATGTAATTTTATATTTTAAAATGATGTCTGCCGGCTATCCGCTTATCTTTACCGATTGACCGTACTGATGCGTCTAAACTCTGACTATGTACTTTCAATTTCATTTAGCCACTTTGGATACTAGCGTCGTGGCGATCGATGCGCGCAATGACAGAAGCAATGGGCCTATTGAGTGAATTCGTATGGTAGTCATAATATGGGTATGTATGGGTAGATGATCGCTTATATACATAGTACATATACGTATTAATGCTTCGGATGAACGTGCACAAAAATCGTTACTTTTGCATATCAATGCATTTTAATTGTAAAGTGTCAAGGCAACATTCACTTGCAATTGACCAATAAAGATGAACAGTGAAAAGAGTAATCTTAGCGTTTACTAGTAGCGTGGTGCCCGAGGTGCGGAATGCGCATGCGCGCGACCATCAGCGGTATGGGCTACCGTTTTTTATTCGGATTTTGGCATTGTGAGCACGTAAAAATAATATCAGCATACAGAGAAACGTTTGACAATGTCAATGGAACTTGTGCACAAAATACAACAACAAAAAAACCAACATTATAAGCGTAGTGTAAGGCGTTGAATAAACTGTAGACAAAAGTGTATTATGAGTTGAAGTTGTTCACCAACCCAGCGGTAAATAGAATAGTATTCGCATTAGCGAAAACATACATATGTAGGAGACTAGCTCTGAACATCAGTTTTACAACTTAAGGAAAGAAAATAACAATATAATGCGTAACAATCGGGACGGAAACATATTGCAACCAGGCTAAAAACTCGTGTACATATGTATGTATTTATTTAGAGTATTTTGTCGGCCAATTGTATTTCCGTGTTTTCGTACAAAATATAACTCGAAAACATAATTACCAATTTAGTTAAAGTTTGAATATTACGCTTTTATGCACTTTGATGGGGTTATTTCAGCTTGTGAATTTCAAAAAACGATTTTTTTTAGCATACCACATACAGGGTCCGGTACCCGAAGTGAAACCAACTTCGGACTGTTCGCACAGCTGTGCGTAGCCATCAGCTCTCTATAAATTGGCTAAATGTGTACAAGCGCACAAAAGCATTTTGTCAAAGAATTCGCAAAAAAAGTGATCAGCGATGGAATTCACACGTAATAGTGTAATTGCTTTATATTTAGCTGGAAAATCACAACCACCGATTGTTCATGAGCTCAAACAACTTAATGTGAATAAAACTTTTGTTTATCCCACTCGTTATAATAATACTGGTAGCTTTACAAGTTTCAAAAGGCCCACGATGTCATGCCGAAGCAGCAGCAAGTTAGACTTGAGAGAGCGAATCTTCGGATTCGCTTGGCCGATAGCGGTAAAATTCCGAACATTGTGTTTTTGACGAACATTTTTTTCCAATTGAGCAATTTATAAACTCTCAAAACGAAAGGGGTTTAATTGATCGACCGTTCATACGAAAATGTGAGTCATCGGTTGACCGCCAAGAGACAATACCCCCCACAAGTAATAGTTCGGGCCGGTGTAATCGCAGATGTCAAAGTAAATGTGACATATTAGCGGGAAAGTATTCTGAAGGCAGCTTTGAAGCCGTGGGCAGACAAACATTTCGGTCGCAGTCCATGGATCTTACAACAAGACTCGGCACCGTCTCACAAAGCGCGAGTGAAACAAAAATGGCTGAAAACCAATATTCCGAATTTCGTTTCGACCACACAATGGATCTGAAATTCACTAGACGCTAATCCAATGGATTATTCTCTCTAGGCTATTTTGGAGAGCAAGGTCCGAAGTAAATAATACAACAGTCTCAAGAAGCTACAGAAAGCCATTGTCCGTGAGTGGGTCAAAATACCGGAATGTCACGTGAATTTTCAATTATTTTCATACATTCTGCACTTTGAAGTAAATAAAAAATAACTATCCAAACCGAATTTGTGGCCTTTTTAATAGGTTACACTTAGAGTTCCGGACCGTATTTATGTCCTTATATTTGAAAATATTCTCTGCAAATACAATAGTTTCGGAGATATGAGCGTGTTTGTAAACATTTTTTAAGTTATATAATATAATGGATTTCAAAAGCTTTAAACTCGTTTTTCTCGAAACGATGTTTTCAGAGTCTACGACCGACTGGACCGATCGGCTTGAAATTTTGACACGAACTTTTTTTACTACATAGGTTTTGACAATAATTTCGATTTTTAAGCCACTCTGCCACGTTCGATCATTACCTGTAATATTTTTTTGGGTTTTTGGATTTTAGATAATTTTAAGCAGAATTAACTTGCTCACCGCCAGACACTTTATTTTGGGGTCCTCCTGGAGATTGGCTACAGGATAATGGGAATCCAAATTTTTTCAAAAAGAATCGTCGATTATTTAAGAACATTAAATTCTTTTAATTCCCAATTTTTTTAAATTTAATTATTATATACTACATGCTTAAAAAAATAATTCACAAAAAGAGAGTTTTCTCTGATTTGCAAGTGTACATATTGAGTACACATTGATAAATTATTACAATTATAGCCAGTTAACTTGTTGTTAGCTAGACATGTACAAATGGAAGATTATCTCAATCACTATACAAAGCCTTATTTGTAGTAAATTATAGATAAATGTAGCAATAAATATAATATTAACATAAACTAGTGTGGACCAGTAGCGTCTCAAAGTGAACGATCCTTGCGCTCCTCAAAAACTGCCGACTACACACTCCACACAAGGGGTAGCAACACAAAAACCTGTACATAATAAAACTAGTGTTTATGTGCGTACAAAAGTATGTACATATATTTGTTAGAGCTACTTATGTAATGTTATAAAATATGCAACGTGTTTTTCCGGAGCTAGTGATGAAAATGGCATAACAAGTAAATGTATTTAAGGGGTTAAGTGAAGATAACATTATTTATGTTAGCTAGTCAATTAGCTTGTATAGTATATATGTAATAAAATTTTAAATGCAACGGAAATTATCGACGGTCAATTATCGATTATCTATTTCAAGAAGTTCTGCGTTATATTAGGCGTCGTAGTTTCCTAATAAATAATTAATTGTGAGTTTGATGTGGCTGTAGCTT